ATTGAACTGTTTGGCTATAATGAGCAGTGTTACATCTGGAGGACGAAGGGGAAAGCTTACACACTCATGAACACCATCCTAACTGTGAAGTATGGGGGCGGCAGCATCATGTTGTGGGGCTGTTTGGCTGCAGGAGGGACTGGTCCACTTCACAGCATAGATGACATCATGAAGAAAGAACATTATGTAGGAATACTGAAGCAACATCTCAAGACATCAGCCAGGAAATGAAAACTTGGCCACAAATGGGTCTTCCAAACAGACCATGACCCTAAGCATACTGCCCTAAGCATTAGTTCAAATGTGCTTAAAGGACAACAGAGTGAATGTTTTGGAGTGGCCATCACAAAGCCCTGATGTCAATCCTATAGAAAATTTGAGGGCAGAGTTGAAAAAGCTTGTGAGAGCAAGACAGCCAACAAATCTGACTCAGTTCCACCAATTCTGTCAGGAGGAATGGGCCAAAATTCCAGCAAACTATTGTGAAGCTTGTGGAAGGATACCCAAAACATTTGACCAAAGTTAAACAGTTTAAAAGCAAAGCTAAACAAACACCAAGGAAATGTGTTTAAACTTTTGACTGTCTAGAAATTAATAGAAAATTCTCAATAAAAACGTCTCTCTTTATTCTGGCATTTAGCAAATGTAAATCATTTAGGTTATCCTAACAGACTTAAAATAGTAAACGTTTAGTATCATTTAACATCAGACATTATTTTAAATGATTATGTTTCTTTTTTTAGAGTGTATGTAAACTTCTGGTTTCAGCTGTATGTTAGATCATATATGGATTAAATCTGGTCACCAGTGGAGTTGCTTTCCAGTGTTTCGTCTTTCAGCAGTGACATTTACATTATACTGAACTGAACTAAACTGAACCTAAAATAAAATCTTGAAAATAATGTATAAAGGATGATTAAGAGAGTCTCCAAGCTGTTTTCCATGCATGAAACTGATGATTTCTGCTGTTTGTTGACTTTAGGACAGTGTGAATGACTGAAAAAAGCAGCCTTGGCATTCTGCAAAGCGTCTCTATTTTCAGCTTCATAATACCAGTCATAGATGTTGTTGGCAAGCTTTTAATAGTTCAATAAATCATCTTCTCACATGTGTTTCTGCTGTTTTCCTGCAGAGGTGCTGTGAGATGAGATATCAGAGTCTTCTGGATATAAAGAGAAGAAGAGAAGCCTTACTCTACCACCGCTTCCACCCTGACGTGTGCCAAACCAACAAAAACAGACTGCTTTAACTTTAGAAACACAGCCGAGCCGGACGCGCTCTGGAGAAAGTGCCAGAAGACGACCTTAAAGAGACACTTATATACATATACAACGTTTGCAAAAAGTCTCTGTCTATTTCACTGTGTGTGTCATGGTGCAACATTTGTTGAGTTTCTTTAACAAGTCACCTGCCGATCATGTGGTGCACCTTAAAAGAGTCGCTATATATTGAATTTTAGAAAAGACAACTTGGCTTATCTTTATGATATGAATTATTGTTGTTGTTGTTGTTGTTGCTCTTGTTATGATGTATTGTTATCGTTCTTTTAAGTAGAGAAAAAAAGCAAACGTGTGTCTTGAACTATTGCGTTATTTAACGTGTGGCGCATCACAAGAGGCCGATATTCTGTATGTTAATGTATATTTGCCTGATTATGACAGACCTGTGGAATAAATCTTTATGAAAGGGGCTGTTTGTCAGTGAGTGGAGTGTTCGCTGTAGTTTAAGCTAATCATAATAATGTGATCTTCATTTTAGTCTGGCTATATCATGATGGTAGAACAGTGCTTTATAATAATAATAATAATTCCTTACATTTATATAGCGCTTTTCTTGGCACTTAAAGCGCTTTACACATAGGGGGAATCTCCTCATCTACTTTTTTTTAATGCAAGAAATAACATTACAAAGATATAATAAGAACAACGAGACAAAGAGGGTTACATAAATAGAATTCCAGCAAATTAAACAAGATTAAATGATTTACACCAAGAAATCGTTTTACATGCAGTGTAATTGTTAGAGTCTTTTAAAGAGTTCACGTAAATTTCAAAGTCCTTTCTGAAATAAAAAGTAAGGGTGTTTCTTTGAAAATTAACATTTATGGAAGTAAAACTTTGCTATAAATCAATAATAAATTTACAATGAGAAGGATCTACACTCAGAGGGTAACCAAAGAACACAATTTTTTGGGGAAATACAGAAGTTTGGAAATAAGAATTTTTTAATGAAACTGGAAAAGTCAACCCAAAACACTTTACAGTAAGTACACTCCCAAAATAAATGCTTTAGTGTTTCATCATATTGAGTACAAAATTAGCATTTAGGGGAAATAATGTTATTAAATTTAGCTAGTTTGGTATTTATTGGGTAGCAATCTCCTCATCTACCATCAGTGTAGCATCCACCTGGATGAAGCGACAGCAGCCGTTTTCTACCAGACCGCACATCACAGAGAGAGGAGACAGAGTATTAAAGCCATGATGGACAGAGGCCAGTGGGTAGATTTGGCCAGGGTGCCGGGGTTAAACCCGTACTCTTTTTCGAAAGATATTCTGGGATTTTAGGGTATATGCTGAAGCATGCTAATAGGACTTTTAATTTGTCAGTAACCTGGGTTAAGCGCTTCCAGCTAACTGCCAAAGGAAAAATCAGCATGTTTGAGGTCTGTTTTCTTTAAAAATCAGCGATCTCCACTGGCTGAGTGATATCCGATATAAAGTGGGTCTCAGATTGTACAAGAAGCACTGCATTACATTACATTTCCCCCGCCATGTCTTTATAATATGAGCATTTATTTTACCTCATTGTATTCAATAGAGCGTCTGCGCTAGTCTGCCGATTCTGACGGGCGAGTGCGAGTAAATGGTCTTTTGTCTCGTTTTACGCTTGAACAATTGAATGAATGCCAAAGTTTATTTAACTGAATGTATTTTAATTGCATCACAACATAAATGCTGTATAAGGAACCGTATAAAATGGAAAAAACTCACAACAACCGGTCACCGGAAGTTTATAAGTATGGGAACAACACTAGCTCGGCATATATCCAATTATATTCATCTGTCTCCATATTCTACTGCATCCTAGAATATTACAGAGCACCAAAAATGTAAAAATATATATTTATTATATTTAAGATATTTTTGTCAACAGCAGACGGCAACTAGCCGTGACGCAAATTCCCGAGAATCTGTGCTCCAATCAGATGAGCCCTCCTCAGCGCTCGCCATGACGACGAGACAACAGTGTGCCTTGTAAAAATTTGCATATGCATTCCTATAAAGCTCGTGTGCTCTCACTCAGCGTTGTCAGTTCGCCCGGTGTAGCTGTTTGTACTTGACCAAGGTGAGTTCAATACCGACGGTACGAGTGGAGCTAAGCCAAACTCACGAAGTCCGCTTCGTGATGCTTCACCCGGGCCCGTCTGTGCTGTAGTTCCTTGCGGTTTGCGTACATAAACGCAATATCGCGAAGAATATTACGTGTTTGTTGCTCGAAATGTGCCGCCGAGCAACATCCAGTGAATACTGGCACGGCCTGGCGCCCGGTCTTTCCGTGCACTCCCTGGGGCGAGGCGGCCTTTGAGCCCTAGGCAGGGAACAAACAACCCCCGAGGACCCTCAGGGAAACACGGGGGGCCGGTAGTGGGACCTCGCTGCGAGGGTTATGGTGGGTGGGAGTAGCGAGGCCCACTCATCTTCTATTTTAAACTATAGTTTCAAACTTTAGTTTACTATAGTTTGAAATAGAAACCATGATAACTGTTATGATTTAACTTTATGCAAAGAGCCTAGGATGACCAAGAGCAACAGATTCGGCCATTTTAAAGTGAAAGCGATCGCTCGTGCATTGGATATCATTGCTGACGCAATGGCAAACAGCGGCTTTGTTTTTATTTAATTTATTTAAAAAGCGCGTTGTTTCCCAAATTGCACTAGAGTATCGCCTCTTGGTGATTCTATGCTCTCTGCTCTTTGTCTGAATGTTGTAATGTTTTGCTTTGTTTTTCAGATGAGTTTTTGAGCAAAGATGGACTATTGAAGACAACAGTTGAAGACGACCGCGGGGTATCTCCACGAGCGCGCGCATCATAATGATTCCGGTGTGTTTTCTGAGAGTTTGTCTTGTTTAGAAAAGTTTGCAGGTCAAACAAAATAAACTATACTCTTCCTAAACATCTGTCTCGTGTTTTATTTGTCATCTACAGCAATACACTGTCATACAAGTCTGTTGAATGCATTTGTATGCAACATGGTTTGATAATACAGTAGTCTACAAATAAATAATTATAAATGTACCTTCAATAATCAACGTTTAGTGTAGGTAATCAAAAGTTAATCAAAGTTGTCCTAAGACATAAGAGTAATGTTATAGTTGTTACATAACTATATTTATTATTATTTTGTTTGTTTAAAACCAGCAGATTATATATATATATATATATATATATATATATATATATATATATATATATATATAACATGTCATGAACTTGCTGTTATTATAAAAATTGCTTAATAAAAAGTCCTAAGACAAGAGTGGGTGTTGTTTTGGTTTTATATCAACCTACTGTAGGTTTTAGGGTGAATACAGCAGATATAGGCTACCTCTTTCATAATATAGTCGGAGTTTTTAATGACTCAAATCAAGTAAAACGTCTCTTCCTCAAGTACTTTTAGCATGCAAAAGTCAAATTTAAGTATATAAAATACAGTTTCCAACAACACAAATTTGTCTTGTGAAAATGACCAATGTGGTGTTGAGAAAAAAAAAAATTATGTCAAATTATATATATATATATATTTATATATATATATATATATATATATATATATATATATATATATATATATATATATATATATATATATATATATATATAAAAGAAGTTGAATAAGTTGTCATAATATTTAGTCATTAGATTATGTGACCGCTAGATGGCGCTCGTTTAAAAGGAGCGTTCATTTCAAAGGAGCGTTACCCTGTACTAAAATGGCGGATCTGTTGACGCATTCCGTCCATAAGACAACATTAGGGTAGGCGACATTTAACGTATATATCTATGGACGCTAACTAGTATTCACGTCGTATCATGCTCAACTCTTGAAACTCTTTTACGCACTTTGAGAGTGTTTGCGTTATTTCAGAGAGATATTTAAGCACATATGAAGTAACAGTGCCGTCTGTGTACTATAGTTACACAATGCAGCATTTAGCTCGCTCGTAAACATCGCTGCTGTCCTCAGATCATTGTCTGAGCAGAAGTTTCATCATTAGCCCTGACTGTCAGATGCTCTTCATCTCAGGAGCTGTATTTTTAGATGCTTGATAACAGATATAAGGTGAGTTATGGCTGGAGTGGACGCTGCCAGATGAGCTTATATTAATTTTGGCATGACAGGAGAGAACAGGATACTAATGAGTGACAGAGAGAGTCCACAAAAACTGCTCTCCGCTTGCATTTCATTTGATGAATATTATCTTTTAGAGCTTCAAGTCTTGCCTCAGGTTTTTCCCTCAGGTGTTTCTCGTCAGATTTGTCTTAGAAAGGTGAGAAATGTTTGAGTTTAAGACATATACTTAAATTAATATATAAGTACTGAAATAGCCAATAGTGCATTTGTATAAGATTTTAGGTAGATCGTAAACCCATATTATGAAATCATGATCGACTTATTGATTGACTTATTTAAATATATAATAAAAAAACATAATTCAATATTAAACATAAATTGTAAGAAAACCTAGCAAGATTACTAATACCTGCAGTAAACTACAATTAAAATAAAAAGTGAACATTAAATATTAGATGAAAGGCTTAACTTGAATAAGCAATCAGTTTTAAAATGAAGAATATTAAAAGCCCATAAATAATGCTGATTTTTATTTTTATTTGATCCCAAAGTCTGAACTGAACTGGCTGATGAGGCTCTGGATGCAAAGTTCATGTTTGCCTTTAATCTTTGACCTTTAAATTCCCATCCAGCAGTACAGTATGTTGTGTCAGTATAAATCTGGCTATAAAGCCTCATTGAACAATTTCCCAAAAGCCAGTGCAAGGTGTAAAGACAACTGAGAAATGACTGTTTATATATATATATATATATATATATAGCGAGAAGAAAAACAGTTTTTAATTTTTTTCAAACCATTTTAAGGTCAATGTTATTAGCCCTCTTAAGCAATATTTTTTGTATAGTCTACAGAACAGACCACTGTTATACAATGACTTGCCTATTTACCCTAACTTGCCTGAATAACCTAGTTAACCCTTTAAATGTCACTTTAAGCTGAATATTGAGAAATGTCTAGTCAAATAATATGGACTGTCTGACATCAAAACGAATATTTGCTGAATGTGAATTGAATGTCTTGATGTAGTTACCCTCTAGATCAGTTTGGGAATGTAAACAGTTTGCTGGTGTGACAGGCAGGATTGCAGAGTCGTGCTGTGTGGCGATCCTTCATTCACTCCGGACGGTCTCATTGACACACTGATTACATTACAGCGATCCAGAGTTCAAGCCAATTGAAGGACAGAATCGAGTTTCAATTGGCCAAATTTTCTCGTTCATTTAACTCTCCCATGTTGGAGTTCGGGTCACTTTGGTGTTTTTTTTTTTTTTTTTTAACAGCAGGAAAAAAACCAAATAATATGTTTTCGTCTTGTTTACACTCACCGGCCACTTTATTAGGTACACCTTATTTATTTGCTTTCAGAACTGCCTTAATCCTTCATGGCATAGATTCAACAAGGTACTGGAAATATTCCTCAGAGATTTTGCGCCATATTGACATGATAGCGTCACACAGCTGCTGCAGATTTGTCGGCTGCACATCCATGATGTGAATCTCCCGGTTCACCACATCCCAAAGGTGCTCTATTGGATTGAGATCTGGTGACTGTGAAGGCCATTTTGAGTACAGTGAACTCATTGTCATGTTCAAGAAACCAGTCTAAGATGATTCACGCTTTACGACATGGTGTGTTATCGCTGTTGCTAACACTGTTGTTATTAAGGAATGGACCACCACAACCAGCCTGAACCGTTGATACAAGGCAGGATGGATCCCTGCTTTGTGTTGTTGTCGCCAAATTCTGACCCGGCCATCTGAATGTCGCAGCAGAAATAAAGACTTATTAGACCAGGGAACGTTTTTCCAATCTTCATAGCGTTCACTTTGTTAACGAGCAGTTGAACAGGTGTACCTAATAAAGTGGCCAGTGAGGGTATGTGTGTGTGTGTATTGACTTTACTAGTTTTCTCTGAGACACTCATTGCTCCAGAAACTTTCCATGGGCCCTATAGTAGATGACTATTTTTGTGTTAGCAGCTGCCAGCAGTCTTAATAACAGCCGGAGAAGAATGTGTGTCTATAATCTCTAAGCTTTTACTATGATGATCATATTGGAAGCCATTGTCAAGAGATAGTCCACCCAAAACTAAGTTCTGTCAACCTTTACTCAGACTTCACTTTCTTCTGCTGGAACGCAAAAGAAGATCATTTGAAGGCTGTTATCATCCATCCACATGGTTAATCAGCTATAGATCGCATACGGCTGCAGCCGGAAGTTAACTAGAATTATTAATATTATTTATTAAATTTCACATTAATTATAACTCATTAATGCCTACCCCTACCTTAACCGTCACAGTAATGTAAAACAGATCTGGACTCTTCTCTATTAGTATAGCTGATTAACAATGTGAATGGGCGATAACAGCCTTCTGAGTGACATTTACTGAACGGAAGGCCCCTACTGGCCCATATCTATCAGCTGATAACCACTGATAAAGCTGATTAAAGCAGCTGACTGGACATGGTGAAAGGACATTATTGGACCACACTAACCAGCCAAACGTGGGGTCCCATATGTGACATGGCACTAGACTTTTAGGTATTTTAGAGATGTGTAATAAATTAATGTATGATGTGGTTTTATGTGTCTTTGGCAGCGAGAAGAGGCTGAATCCAAAGCCCGAGAGAAAGCAGAGAAACAGAGGATCGAACGAGAGAAACACTTCCAGAAGGAGGAGCTGGAATGCTTGGAAAGAAAGAAGGTAAAATAAAAGTCCACCAATCAAGCTAAACACAGCATCACGCTCTCTCATTCACACACACACATAGGCGTGCTCGCTCGCTCGGGAGTGATATTGTTAGACCGCCCGCTCCCATTCAAATTACACCAGTTACCGACCGCTCCCATGCTTTATCCGGAAATTAATCCCACGCTGTCGCCTCAAAGAAAGAAGGTCGCTGGTTCGAGTCCTGTCTGGGTCATTTGGCATTTCTGTGTGGAGTTTGCATGTTCTTAGTGTGTGTGAATGAGTGTCTATGGATGTTTCCCAGTACTGCTTTGCAGCTGGAAGGGCTTCCGCTGTGTAAAACATATGCTGGATAAGTTGGCGGTTCATACTGTTGTGGTGGCCCATGATAAATAAAGGGACTAAACTGAAAGAAAATGAATGAATGAATTTTTAAAAATTGTTAAATATAGCACTTGGGAAATATGTTTAAACGATTTAAATTTCACAGGAGGGCTTAAAATTTTGTCTTCAATTGTATTTGAGATTTTAGTTCAGTACTGTTGGTTTAACGTTTGTGTTTACATTTTTAGCGTCTGGAAGAAATCATGAAGAGGACTCGTAAGAGTGACGCAGGAGCACAGGTGAGATGTGTGTGTGTTTCATAAATTCATCTTAAACACACTCAATAAAAGAAAATTAACCTGGTTTATTCATTTCTTTGCAGAAAGATGTTAAAACTTCAACTCAAGTGAATGGCAGAGTCACTGACAGCGGTAAAAATCTATTTATAGGACTGTGAATATATAAAAATCACTCTTTCATTAATATCATGTAAGTAGGGTTAAAATAAAAAATACAATGTTGTTTTCCTCTCGTCTTGCAGTAATACAGAAAAATCCGTCAGAAGCTCTTCAAACTGGTGCGACAAACCAATCACCAATGAAGTAATCGAGACGCTGCATGAATTGAAAGTGAAATGAAGCTGCATGAATTATGTTTTGCTTATTTTCCCGCTTGTGTGTCTTCTTCAGCTCTCTGTCCTGGGACGCAGCACCGGTCATTAACGGAGCTCCGCCCACTAAGCATCAGAATGGACTGTCCTCCAATGGAGACGCAGCAGACTTTGAGGAGATAATCAAGCTGTCCAATCACAGTGGGAACAGTGGGCAGAGTCAACCGGCTGACCCAATCATGGCCTTCGAGGGAGGAGAACCGTTCATGATGAAGGCGGGGCCTATGAAACCTCAACATGTGGCAGGTAGAATCAGATTTTGTTCGATTACGTACAGTTGAAACCAGACGTTTACATACACTTTATAAAGAGGCACATAATTATTATTTTTTTTTTAATGAGACTAAACTTATTTTTTAGGTAAGTTAGGATGATCAAATTTGTTTCTGTTCTGCTTAATAGCAAAATAATGAGAGAAATATTTTTGATAAATTGTTATAACCTTTCTTAAAAGTCAAGTTTACATACAGTAAGATTATTCTGCCTCTGAAAAAGCTCAGATGATGATGTCAAGCTTTTAGAAGTTTCTGATTGGCTAATTGACAACATTTGAGTTAATTGGAGGCACAACTGTAGAATAGTATTGAAGGAAAACCTCAAACACACACTGCTTCCTTGTGTGACAACATGAAAAAATCAACAAGCCAGAATCAACACAAAAGCCAGGTTACAATTTGCTGAATTACACTGGGAAAAAGACTAATTTCTGGAGACATGTCCTGTGCTCTGATGAAGCTAAGATTGAACTGTTTGGCTATAATGAGCAGTGTTACATTTGGAGGACGAAGGGGAAAGCTTACACACTTATGAACACCATCCTAACTGTGAAGTATGGGGGCGGCAGCATCATGTTGTGGGACTGTTTGGCTGCAGGAGGGACTGGTCCACTTCACAGCATAGATGGCATCATGAAGAAAAAACATTATGTAGAAATACTGAAGCAACATCTCAAGACATCAGCCAGGAAATTAAAACTTGGCCACAAATGGCTCTTCCAAACAGACCATGACCCTAAGCATACTGACAAATTAGTTCAAATGTGCTTTAAGGACAACAGAGTGAATGTTTTGGAGTGGCCATCACAAAGCCCTGATCTCAATCCTGTAGAAAATTTGAGGGCAGAGTTGAAAAAGCTTGTGCGAGCAAGACAACCAACAAATCTGACTCAGTTACACCAATTCTGTCAGGAGGAATGGGCCAAAATTCCAGCAAACTATTGTGAGAAGCTTGTGGAAGGATACCCAAAACATTTGACCAAAGTTAAACAGTTTAAAAGCAAAGCTAAACAATCACCAAGGAAATGTGTGTAAACTTTTGACTGTCTAGAAATTAATAAAAATTCTCAATAAAAAATTCTCTCTTTATTCTGGCATTTAGCAAATGTAAATCATTTAGGTTATCCTAACAGACTTAAAATAGTAAACGTTTAGTATCATTTAACATCAGACGTTATTTAAATGATTGTGTTTCTTTTTTTAGAGTGTATGTAAACTTCTGGTTTCAGCTGTATGTTAGATCATATATGGATCAAATCTGGTCACCAGTGGAGTTGCTTTCCAGTGTTTCGTCTTTCAGCAGTGACATTTACATTATACTGAACTGAACTAAACTGAACCTAAAATAAAATCTTGAAAATAATGTATAAAGGATGATTAAGAGAGTCTTCAAGCTATTTTCCATGCATGAAACTGATTATTTCTGCAGTTTGTTGACTTTAGGACAGTGTGAATGACTGAAAAAAGCAGCCTTGGCATTCTGCAAAGCGTCTCTATTTTCAGCTTCATAATACCAGTCATAGATGTTGTTGGCAAGCTTTTAACAGTTCAATAAATCATCTTCTCACATGTGTTTCTGCTGTTTTCCTGCAGAGGTGCTGTGAGATGAGATATCAGAGTCTTCTGGATATAAAGAGAAGAAGAGAAGCCTTACTCTACCACCGCTTCCACCCTGACGTGTGCCAAACCAACAAGAACAGACTGCTTTAACTTTAGAAACACAGCCGAGCCGGACGCGCTCTGGAGTAAGTGCCAGAAGACGACCTTAAAGAGACACTTATATACATATACAACGTTTGCAAAAAGTCTCTGTCTATTTCACTGTGTGTGTCATGGTGCAACATTTGTTGAGTTTCTTTAACAAGTCACCTGCCGATCATGTGGTGCACCTTAAAAGAGTCGCTATATATTGAATTTTAGAAAAGACAACTTGGCTTATCTTTATGATATGAATTATTGTTGTTGTTGTTGTTGCTCTTGTTATGATGTATTGTTATCGTTCTTTTAAGTAGAGAAAAAAAGCAAACGTGTGTCTTGAACTATTGCGTTATTTAACGTGTGGCGCATCACAAGAAGCCGATATTCTGTATGTTAATGTATATTTGCCTGATTATGACAGACCTGTGGAATAAATCTTTATGAAAGGGGCTGTTTGTCAGTGAGTGGAGTGTTCGCTGTAGTTTAAGCTAATCGTAATAATGTGATCTTCATTTTAGTCTGGCTATATCATGATGGTAGAACAGTGCTTTATAATAATAATAATAATTCCTTACATTTATATAGCACTTTTCTTGGCACTTAAAGCGCTTTACACATAGGGGGAATCTCCTCATCTACTTTTTTTAATGCAAGAAAGAACATTACAAAGATATAATAAGAACAACGAGACAAAGAGGGTTACATAAATAGAATTCCAGCAAATTAAACAAGTTTAAATGATTTACACCAAGAAAGTGTTTTACATGCAGTGTAATTGTTAAGAGTCTTTTAAAGAGTTCACATAAATTTCAAAGTCCTTTCTGAAAATAAAAAGTAAGGGTGTTTCTTTGAAAATTAACATTTATGGAAGTAAAATGTTGCTATAAAAAAACAATAAATCAATAATAAATTTACAATGAGAAGGATCTACACTCAGAGAGTAACCAAAGAACACAATTTTTTGGGGAAATACAGAAGTTTGGAAATAAGAATTTTTTAATGAAATTGGAAAAGTCAACCCAAAACACTTTACAGTAAGTACAGTCCCAAAATAAATGCTTTAGTGTTTCATCATATTGAGTACAAAATGAGCATTTAGGGGAAATACTGTTATTAAATTTAGCTAGTTTGGTATTTATGGGGTAGCAATCTCCTCATCTACCACCAGTGTAGCATCCACCTGGATGAAGCGACAGCAGCCGTTTTCCACCAGACCGCACATCACAGAGAGAGAAGACAGAGTAATGAAGCCATGATGGACAGAGGCAAGTGGGTAGATTTGGCCAGGATGGCGGTGTTAAACCCGTACTCTTTTTCGAAAGACATTCTGGGATTTTAGGGTATATGCTGAAGCATGCTAATAGGACTTTTAATTTGTCAGTAACCTGGGTTAAGCGCTTCCAGCAAACTGCCAAAGGAAAAATCAGCATGTTTGAGGTCTGTTTTCTTTAAAAATCAGCGATCTCCACTGGCTGAGTGATATCCGATATAAAGTGGGTCTCAGATTGTACAAGAAGCACTGCATTAAATTACATAAAATAAATATTTATTATATTTAAGATATTTTTGTCAACAGCAGACGGCAACTAGCCGTGACGCAGATTCCCGAGAATCTGTGCTCCAATCAGCTTAGCCCTCCTCAGCGCTCGCCATGACGACCTGACAACAGTGTGCCTTGTAAAAATTTGCATATGCATTCCTATAAAGCTCGTGTGCTCTCTAACAGCGTTGTCAGTTCGCCCGGTGTAGCTGTTTGTACTTGACCAAGGTGAGTTCAATACCGACGGTACGAGTGGAGCTACGCCAAACTCACGAAGTCCGCTTCGTGATGCTTCACCCGGGCCCGTCTGTGCTGTAGTTCCTTGCGGTTTGCGTACATAAACGCAATATCGCGAAGAATATTACGTGTTTGTTGCTCGAAATGTGCCGCCGAGCAACATCCAGTGAATACTGGCACGGCCTGGCGCCCGGTCTTTCCGTGCACTCCCTGAGGCGAGGCGGCCTTTGAGCCCTAGGCAGGGAACAAACAACCCCCGAGGACCCTCAGGGAAACACGGGGGGCCGGTAGTGGGACCTCGCTGCGAGGGTTATGGTGGGTGGGAGTAGCGAGGCCCACTCATCTTCTATTTTAAACTATAGTTTCAAACTTTAGTTTACTATAGTTTGAAATAGAAACCATGATAACTGTTATGATTTAACTTTATGCATAGAGCCTAGGATGACCAAGAGCAACAGATTCGGCCATTTTGAAGTGAAAGCGGTCGCTCGTGCATTGGATATCATTGCTGACGCAATGGCAAACAGCGGCTTTGTTTTTATTTAATTTATTCAAAAAGCGCGTTGTTTCCCAAATTGCACTAGAGTATCGCCTCTTGGTGATTCTATGCTCTCTGCTCTTTGTCTGAATGTTGTAATGTTTTGCTTTGTTTTTCAGATGAGTTGTTGAGCAAAGAAGGACTATTGAAGACGACAGTTGAAGACGACCGCGGGGTATCTCCACGAGCGCGCGCATCATAATGATTCCGGTCTGTTTTCTGAGAGTTTGTCTTGTTTAGAAAAGTTTGCAGGTCAAACAAAATAAACTAAACTCTTCCTAAACACCTGTCTCGTGTTTTATTTGTCCTCTACAGCAATACACTGTCATACAAGTCTGTTGAATGCATTTGTATGCAACATGGTTTGATAATACAGTAGTCTACAAATAAATAGTTATAAATGTACCTTCAATAATCAACGTTTAGTGTAGGTAATCAAAAGTTAATCAAAGTTGTCCTAAGACATAAGAGTAATGTTATAGTTGTTACATAACTATATTTATTATTATTTTTTTAAATTATTTAAATATATATATATATATATATATATATATATATATATATATATATATATATATATATATATATATATATAACATGTCATGAACTTGCTGTTATTATAAAAATTGCTTAATAAAAAGTCCTAAGACAAGAATGGGTGTTGTTTTGGTTTTATATCAACCTACTGTAGGTTTTAGGGTGAATACAACAGATATAGGCTACCTCTTTCATAATATAGTCGGAGTTTTTAATGACTCAAATCAAGTAAAACGTCTCTTCCTCAAGTACTTTTAGCATGCAAAAGTCAAATTTAAGTATATAAAATACAGTTTCCAACAACACAAATTTGTCTTGTGAAAATGACCAATGTGGTGTTGAGAAAAAAAAAATTAATGTCAAATTATATATATATATATTTATAAAAGAAGTGAATAAGTTGTCATAATATTTGGTCATTAGATTATGTGACCGCTAGATGGCGCTCATTTAAAAGGAGAGTTCGTTTAAAAGGAGCGTTACCCTGTACTAAAATGGCGGATCTGTTGACGCATTCCGTCCAAAAGACAACATTAGGGTAGGCGACATTTAACGTATATATCTATGGACGCTAACTAGTATTCACATCGTATCATGCTCAACTCTTAATACTCTTTTACGCACTTTGAGAGTGTTTGCGTTATTTCAGAGAGATATTTAAGCACATATGAAGTAACAATGCCGTCTGTGTACTATAGCTACACAATGCAGCATTTAGCTCGCTCGTAAACATCGCTGCTGTCCTCAGATCATTGTCTGAGCAGAAGTTTCATCATTAGCCCTGACTGTCAGATGCTCTTCATCTCAGGAGCTGTATTTTTAGATGCTTGATAACAGATATAAGGTGAGTTATGGCTGGAGTGGACGCTGCCAGACGGGCTTATATTAATTTTGGCATGACAGGAGCGAACAGGATACTAATGAGTGACAGAGAGAGTCCACAAAAACTGCTCTCCGGTTGCATTTCATGTGATGAATATTATCTTTTAGAGCTTCAAGTCTTGCCTTAGGTTTTCCCCTCAGGTGTTTCTCAAGGTGAGAAATGTCTGAGTTTAAGACATATACTTAAATTAATAGATAAGTACTGAAAAATCCAATAGTATTTGACCTTTGTATAAGATTTCAGGTAGATCATAAGCCAATATTATGAAATCATGATCGACTTATTGATTTATTCATTCATACTACTTGTTTGAAAAAATAATATACCAATTCATTGTTAATACTATAGAGTTTTTGAACTATACAGTTGTAAAGTACATTAGCTGATCGGTTGTGGTAATATACTATGGTAATAGAACAACTGTTTGCAAATTACTCATAAAATATCAAATATTTTTATAATGATCCCTTCATTTGCTTGTGATTTTTAGTTTAGGTTTGAGTGAATTATGAGTGAATACATGTTTTAAAATGCAGCGAGTAAAAAATAATACGTTTTCAACAACATGTTCAATTCTATTACAGTAAACCAGTTTACTGTAGTAAAAACTAAAGAATACCGTATCTATTACAGTTCATCAGTTCACTAATTTATCAGTTCATTGATTAACAGAGTTGTGAGTAACACAGTAATACAGTAAAATACACTTTACTATAGTATGGCACTAAAAATACTTGTGTTTACTATAAATTACTGTTGTTGTTGTTTTATGTGTGCAGTTTCAAGTACAATTGTCTTTTCACATTTTAATTATTGTTAGATAATTATATATTAATATTATTATTAGATATTATTAGCTAAAAATAATCCAACTATATATATATATATATATATATATATATATATATATATATATATATATATATATATATATATATATATATATATATGAGTACACACCTCACACATCTTTCTTTTAAATTCATACTTTTAATAGAAAAATATACAATATTATATTTGTCCATATACATTAGATTACTCACTACTAAAGCCGGATCTTTGTCATACAAGAGTGATAAATACAGATTTTTAAAATGAGGAAAAATCAAGAGAAGCAAGAAATGTGAAAGATTTAGTTGAAATTTTGTAGGTTGGAATTTTTTAAATATATTCTTTGCAATATTTAGCTTGAATATATTTGTATTAGCTTTTAATTTCTTAAATATGTTTGGGGACTAAAATATTAGTTTATTTATATAATAAAAATTTACATAATAAATATATCTGTTTAGTAAATCTGTTTTGTTTAAATGCATCAAAACACATTGCCTATATTCCCTAAGAAATGGATACATTTATTTATATATATAAAAACTAAATAACATCACATTTGATTATTAGATTAAAACTTATTTTTATCTGATTCAAACTTGTTTATAATCTTATTATAAAATAATTTAAATCCTATCTTATTTTTAAACTGATCATATTTAAATATATAATAAATAAACATAATTCAATATTAAACATAACTTGCAAGAAAACCTAACAAGATTACCAATACCTGCAGTAAACTACAATTAAAATAAAAAGTGAACATTGAATATTAGATGAAAAGCTTAACTTGAAGAAGCAATCAGTTTTAAAATGATAAAGATCGCCATAGAAATATTGCTGTGTTGCATTTAATAAATATTACAAGAATATTAAAAGC